AAACTGATAGTAGTTTCATATCTAGGTTAAACTATATTTATTTCAACATAAAAAAGAAAGAAAAAAAAGGAGAAATGAGTTTCTTCAGACAATTGGGATTGAGATCACACTGATCTGCTGTATATGGAGTAGAGAATAGCAACGACGAATATAGAAAAACGGCAAAAAAAGAATGTTCGAAAAAACAACAACAACAAAGAAAAAGTAAAATACGAGGAAAGCATATGCATTGATAAAGATTATGTATAAAAACGAGACGTGGCCGGAACTTGGACTTAAAAAGGTTTCTTGACCGGGATATGGAACACGAATTTTTTAAATATAAAAAATAGATAAAAAAGTGATCTTATGTTATACAAGTATACAGTTTTTCTAGAACAATCACAACTCTTATGTCAGATAAGAAAATTATTTTGAATTTTGCGCTGTTAACGAGGTATTTTTTTTCATGTTTTATACGAGCACGATATTTGAACCGATATTAAAATAAAAAACTTTGTCCTGGTCATGTCCAATGAAAATGTTTAGTTGATCTGATTATGAGCTGTTGATATTAATGGAAATTTATCCATCCATCTCTCTCTCAAAGGTTAATAGCAGAAGGAGTAAACTAATTTTCCGTTTATTTAATAGGGAAAAAACAATAATTCGTATTTTTTAGAACCGTAAAATGGCAGAAATTTATGAAAAGTAGCAACAAATTATTTAATGCTAAATAATTTTCAAGTAAAACGCATTTAACAGAATCAAAACTTATTTGCGTCTCAAGACTGTTTTTCAACTTGTGAGCTTTCACCACATACCGGGATTCTCGGTAACGATACATCGAAGAAAGACAGGTTTTTTTTTATTTGTATATAACACCTATAGCTAAGACTTGTCAGAGTCCGATGTTTAAATCATGCTTCCATTTTTTATAGAAATGAGCATTTCCAAGGACAACATTCCCTGACAGTTTGATCGCAGATCAGACTTACCTCTTCTGATCCCAAGAGGCACAGTGGGCATTCAGGCGGAAATTTGAGCAATCGACAAGTGAGCTTTTTTGAATTCGAACAGTAGTAAATGTAGTTCTTGAAAAGCGCTATCGAATGGTATATAATGATCGACTAGTAATGAACTCCTTCGATGAGTAAGTTAACTTACGAACATTCACAAAAAACACCGTCAAATATGACACATCTGCAAAGATTCTTATTTCTATGTACAGACGTGCAATATTATCCTATCCAAAGCACGTATTCCGAATCAGCACAACCTATTGTATCTCCTGGTAGTAGAAGGTACTCCTTTTGCATCTTGTACTAACGAAAAAAGGTCTAGTAGTCTAGTTACTACGGTCCGACATGAGACAACCTCAGTGCAGTGACAGCACTAAAAAGCACTAAGCCTGAACAGACCTTCTAATTACATGAAAATGTTCCTCAGCCTTTCGTGTATTTATGATGATTTCGTCTTTTCTCGTCTTTTTTTCTAAGTCGAGTTATTGATTTTACAAAAACCCGTAGGGTTTTCGAGGTAATTCGCGTTTTTCTCCCCCATAAGAGCACTTTTTCCACAACATAAAGTCATATTCGGAATCATCGTGAAAAACTACGTCGAATGATATATAGTTTGTTAATTTTACAAATAAAATATTTTTTGACAAAAATTCATGGCAAGTATCCCCCTAAGGAACTTTTTGTCGGAAAAAATTTTTTTTCGAATTCGACCTTTTTTACTTCTGCTAATATCTGTCACATAGTAAGACCATATTATCTAAACTAATCATTTTCTAACTCAAAAAGTCAGATGTCCGCCTACTGTATGGGAAAATGCCCACTGTGAGAGGGGGGGCTTAAGTGTGAGTGATATCGGCGAGGCCCGTTGTGCCTGGGCACACCCCATCAGTAAAAATTGTTATTTAACTGCAATGAAAACAATCACATTTGATTTCTAAAAGAAATCACTGACGAGATAAGGTTCGAGCTTTCATCTCTTATCAAAAGACATTATTAGAAATAACAGCGTGAACGAGAACATGAGAATATTTTGTCAATCCGTGAAAAGTTACTTCGGTTGCTTAAATGAGTTGCGGCAAGAGATATCTACCTTTTACGCGCGCTTCGTCGATGCAAACCGGTGTGAAAATTCTTTAGTGCCCTGTTAGTTTTCTGGTCGCTGTCGCACAGACGGCTATATTGGAATCAGAATCGGTACAACCAAAAAACAAAATGCACGAAAACCAGTATATCAATTTACATCTATAGTGCATCCCTCTTAGCAAAATCCTGGCTACGCGCCTGTATCGGTGAGGATAGTTAGTTTATCTGGTAGATAAGGGAATATCAGACCGTTGAAATTATTAAATCATAGTAATAGTTTATTATTTTTAAATGATCATAATATATCTAATCAGCCAAAACAATCCATAATTTTGTTTTCATTCGATAAGTTTTCATTTGAAGTATAGAGAAAAAATGAAACGACACATTTTTCATCTTTGAATCCACTTTAGTGAAGAAGAAACTTTACATCAAGAAAACATTTATCCATGATGAATTGAAGCTCAAACTGAGAACACGGACTACAGAACGGTCTATCAGCGACTGAAAATAGTTTATAGTCTAGATTCTGACCTACCAAATATCTCATTTTAGTTAAACTATTTTTCAAGCAACATTCTCAATTCTACTTAACACAGACGTTTTTCAATAGATGTTTAATCTGTTTTATTGTCATGTAATATTTTCAATTAAAATAGATCGTAGACATCTCTGTAATCTCTATGGAAAACCACACCGAATGCGATGCTATTCGGCATTTTTAAGGAATTCAACAGTGTGAAAAAAAATCGTCAGACAAATGTATTTAGGACATGGCTATGACTAAAAAATCAAATATTTTTAATCGAAAAAAAAAATTAAGATATGTTTTATCTATCTATTGTACTGTACTACTATAAATATATCAATTAAAGCTAAATTTTCCTTCTCTGAGGATTGATCGACCATGACGTGGACTCACTCTTACTGATTAGATAGATGTTTATCATGTTTTAACAGAAAGATTTTCCACATGTGAACAATTCGTTCGAGGCTAATTGATGAATTTACATTCGTACGATTTCCAATATCTAAATTAGCGTGAGTAGTTTTATAAAAAATAATCTATTTAGATTTGCAAAAAATATGGTGGTTTACTCTCGAATATTTAGAGTATGTCTTGCAATTTAATATTCACATTTATACTAATAAATAATTTATATTTCACATGATCTTTTTTCTCATATTTTCCTACAAATTCATGACATCTGGTTAATACTCATAATTGTGGAAAATATCTGGGATCTTTACATTATCTCGATAGATGATGATTTTTGTAAAAACATTTTTACTGTTGCCTTCAAGAGAAAAACTTGAAATTGTCTTTGTTTTAATGAAACGGTGAACGACTGAAATTCAGTTAACGCAAACAGCTGCTCACATTTGCATTACTGCTGGTTATTTTTCATTTTGTTGATCGTTAATATTGTATAAATATTGCAATTAATGGTTGTTTGTATTGTATTCTTTGAATATCTACTGACTATACCATTAATATTTCCGTCTTTGACACTTAAAAAAAGTTTCTTGTTCAGTATCGAATAGTGTTCTAGTAATCTTGCTAATTTTCCACTTTGATAACAAAATTATTGTTCATCTCATCCATGCCTTTTTGTATAACTATGAACATTTCGTTTGTGTTTCACTGTACTTCTCTCAAACTACTCGTTAATAAAATGCTCAAAACACATTCATAATACGCGATAATATTTTGTGTATTGTATGACGAAAATGGAAATGGTTTTACAGTATCGAATTTTTTTCACATGATGAAAATAAATGTGTGTCCACTGTCATTGGATGCGTCAAACGATAGAGATCATCTAATGATTGTTGAATATATGCATTAACTTGTTCACCATTTTTTCATCGAAGATTTAAACTTCAACCATATTCCATGATATTTAAGTTCATTAATGAAAAAAATCTACGTGACTATATTCTCAACTGTCCAAAAATCCCTTAAATATTGATAAATGGTGATTAGGTATCATGAAATGAAAGCTACAGAATTGTACTTGAATTTCTTGTTTCAAGATAAACGAGATTGAAATATTCAAATCTGAATCAGTTTTTTCTGTTTTGTTGTTGAAAAAATGAATGTTTCTTTAATATTCACATGATGTGTTATGTGTGTGCACAGCTACAGAATTCACCTAAAGGAATAAACAAAGCAAAAAGAAAACAGCAACAGTTAAGAAAAAATAAACGAACTATAATGGATGGATAGAAAAAGAATAAATGGTTCCTACATAAATAAACAAATATAAATAGTGTGAATTGCGAAGAATAAAACCGGTGCCGGTAAAATTATGACTCATTGATTCTACAAACTAGAAAGCTTTATCAATAGAAAAACTTGCATTTTAAATTAAAATTAGATAAAAAACAAAAACGAAGCAACATTGCATGTTATATGCATATATGTGAAAATAAAATAAACACAGTTCAATTGAATCATTACACATGATGAGAAAAAGAAAACAAAAAAAGAGAAAATAAAATAAAATAAATAAATAAAGATGTTAAAATCGGAAGACATTTGATTTTAATTTGAGAGAAAAGTAGCAGTGAATGAGTTGAATTTATTGATCAGAAGTAGTGTGCTCAAGTCAATTAAGCATTAAGTGCAATAGGTAAAATACTATACTGCTATGAACGAAAGATATCTTAAAAAACATTATAATAGAGCAACAATAGCTTTCAAATTATTATTAGATCTACAGACTTAGAAGATTGTTCGTTGCCAACTCAAGTTTTAAATATATGATGAGCGTGTAAAAACCATTGTATTAGTAGAGGATAGAGATGCTGCATAGATAAAAAGAAAGAACAACAGCAACAACAACAACAACAACAGCAACAACAACAACAACAACAGCAACAACAACAACAACAACAAGAGATACACACAGTTCAAATCCTTTCAACTATTTCATTTAATATTTTATCAAAACTTTGTGCACATGTTGCATGTTCAGGATGTGGATTTTTAACGGCTAATAATGGTGAATGTGCTTTGACAGCAATACGTGAAACAATATTTGTATCAGTACCAATATGAATAACATATTGTTTCATAAATTCTTGAAATGTTTGTGCACCATTTTGATTCGATGACAATGATGAATAATTATGAGTATTATTCGATATTGATATACTATCTGAATGAGGATGATGTTGGGTATTTGATGCTGTCGATGATGCTGATGATGAGGAAGACGGTGGTGTAGTTGTAGTCACATTATAATTATTATTTAGAAGAGCTGGTATCGATGAACGATAAGATTCGAATGCATCACGATGTTTTGTATAAATATCAAAGACAAATCGCCAACATTTTTCAATATCACTTGTATTATTTGTTGTTTGTTGATGTTGTTTTTGTTCTTTTACTGTACATAATATTAAATGTATTTTTGGTAGTTTAACACCGTTTTCATCTGCTCGATAATAAAACGAATAATGTCGATAATAATAGTAGACATTGGATGGTTGAGAAAAGCCGTATAATAACGAAAATAAATATTCGAAACCGTTACGATGTAAATGATCTTCACTAACTGGTAGAAGAATACGATCAGCAGCTGTCAATGCGATTTCTGTACATATAGAAAATGATGAATTTGTATCAATAAATGCCATCAGTTTAATACCACGACGTTCACCAATTTTTAAAATAAATGTACGCAAAGATTGTGTTATGCTACGCCAAGGATTTGTGTATGGTGTGATGATATTTGAACTTCGTTTTATTTCAAGTGCTTTACTTAATAGTTCTAAAGATGGATCACCGCATAATAAATAAACCTAAAATAAACAAAATAATATTCAAAACAAGTATAAAAAGTTTAATAAATCAATCATTTTATCACTTTTATAACTTACATTTCTAGGCAACATATTATTAAATTTGGATACATTAAATAAAAATGTACGTGGATCAACATTTGTAGGCAAACCGACTGACGTATAAAGATCTAAATATCCTGATATTGTTTTAGGTATACGTTGTTGACTATCTAATATCATTGGATCTTTTCTTAACGAGCCAATTTGTGTTACATAATCGTGACCATTTTCATCGTCACCTAAAATATAGGCATAAAAAATATTGACAAAAACGGAAAATGTTTGATGATTTCAAAAAACGTGAATATGACAGATCACACAACAGGTATGATGATGTACACATCCATTTTTCAAGATCTTTCTCTCTATATATATAGAGAGAGAGAGATAGATAGGTAGATCAGATTGAATTATACGGTCAATTTCTAGTTTTAGAATATATTCAAACGCAAAGAAATATATATTTGTCTATGGAATGATTAATGTTTATTATATTGAATGATGTATCAATAAAATATATTTTATATGACAAATAAGTAAGTATAAAACGATTTATCATCAAATACAAATCAGATGAATGTATATATATATATGAATATTACTAAAGAAGATTAACAATAATGATTTTTTCATGTTAAAATTTTATGAAAAATTAAAGTTTTTAATTAAGCACTTTGATCTTACCTAAAAATGCATGTGATAAATCAGCTTGTGGACACATATCAACGACTAATATTGTTTTATCTGGATTTCTATAAGCATATTTAATGGCTAAATGATATGCTAAATTTGTTTTACCAGAACCGCCACGATTGTTCCATATTGCATAACTACCTTCCAATGGCATCTTCTAAATATAATCAAAGAAGTGAGAAAAAAAAAATGTAAGAAAAATTAAGTTGTCGAGTGATCTTTACTCGGTATACGAACGATTTCCTTGGATTCTCTTTCAAAAACATTATGTATTATTTTATATAATGTATTATGTTTGTTTCAAATCATCAGAAAAGTATGTAGATAATATTACATATAATGAACGGTACAATGAACCTTCATAAAAAAATTTGATTGAATTTGCCACTTTCACTATATTAACATAGCAAGTTCAATGTAACTATCACCACCTCTCATACTCTCTATCTATTTACGAAAAAACGAGTATATTTTTTTTTCTTCTTTCTCTTGAAAAATCAGTCATCTAATTTGATTAGAATGAATTTTCTTTTGAAAAATAATTTTAGCATTACAAGTTGACATACATATTCATCGCCTTGGGAAAAAATCTATCTATCTATTTAAATAGTTATGTTATCTACACTAAAGTATGAGTATGCTTTAATGCAATCACTCTAAAAATAGTTGTCATTTTTCTATTTTTAGAAAAAAAGAAAATTTGTTTTGCAAAAGCGGAAAATGTCAACGATATTTTTACAAAATATTAAAGCTATATCTATATATTTTGTTTTTTCTTCTTTTGAGTGAATTTCATTGTCGAGTGCGTGTATGATAATATATACACGATAATCAATCTATTTGGAATAAAAACACAAAGATACTAAGGATATTATAAATTTTCTCTGTATTCTGACAATTTGTCTATTTCAAAAAAAAAAACAAGAAAAAAAACATGATTTTGATTGTTATTTGAATAATATTCGAACAAAACGAGTCAGAAATCTGTGGTATTAGCCAATCAAAAGAGAAAACCTGAATATATCTTTTCATAAGTATAATCTATTCTGACAGTGAGATTTTTTAGAGGATCTTGCTCATAAAAAATAGTCCATATTATCAAAAAATTAAGTAGCAATATACTGATTTTTTATATGAGTAGACAGTTTAAAGGATGCTATCAAAAATGAGACCTTGGCAAGACCTTGACTATGAATAGTTCGGGTGTAATATCCGCTTTTTTCGGAGTCTTCGGAATGTAACTTTTTACTATCTAGAGGGCTCTTAGAAAACTTCAAGCAAAAAAATATCTTTATAATTTTTTTGATTCTATAATTAGATTTAGCGAAGAAAATTAACCATATCCTAAAGCGTTCAGATTATTAGACTATGTTTTGAATAACTTAACAAGTTTCTTAATGTTTAAGTAAGAAAAATCATGGTATAGGCTTTACAACTTTTCAAACAATCAATTCTCTATAGATTGATACTCTAGCACCTTATATGATATTCTTGACGACTATTCTAATATTAGATCTAAAATTTTTATTAAACATACGAATGATATATTTTCACTACAATTCAATGTGATTCTAAAAAAAGTAAAAATTTGATAATCTTAGTTTATAATTGATTTGATACATTAATAAACCAGTTTAATGTACTTTGAGTAAAAATTCAATATTAAATCTCGATTTTTAATATATAAGTATTTTCTCTAAATTTAGATATTTGTATTTCAAATCATGTACACATATCTTTCTTTTCATCTCTAATATCTTATCGTAGAATAGTTTATTCAATCTTATTTTTAGTGAAAATTGATTTAAATACTCTTCGTACTCTAATAATTTCTCAACTCTATCGTTGTATATTACTTATTTTATTAAAATTTTTATGATCAAGAAAACTATTGTTCAACTATTCTGTGAAATATGATCGTAATGGATAATAATCTTTGAAATGATCATTTTTGAAAGAAAATGTTTAGAAATTCAACAATATATCATTTATATTTAACAACAAAATAATATAGAATTTGTTAATTAATTTTAATCATTTTAGTGAGAAAATAAATTTTATTTAAAAATAAAAAAGAATGAAAACAAAACGAACCTTTGCCATTAATGATGGTGATGATATTTTGGCGACATGAAATTTTTCAATATCATGTGTAATGGATGCAGCAACTGAATTACTTCGAACTTTCGTTGTTGACGTTGTTGTTAGAGAATTCATAATAGAATTTTTTATTTTTTGCATGAATATAAAGTTTACTTTAGATCATAATATACAAAAAAGAACATGATTATTTTTTCTATGTGTGCGCATTTTGTATTTATTATAACAATTTGCCGGTCGGTATACAGTAGTTAGTGTGTGGTAGAAGTATAGTATATATTCTAATATAACAGCAGTTGTTTTAATTAACTATTTGTACAACATACACATCGGGGAAAAAAAAATTTTCTTTTCTTCTGTATCCGCAAAAATAAGAAGAAAAAAGAAGAAGAAGAAAATGGCATTGCACTGCGCATTCCTCATTCTAAACATATTTTATAAGAGCGAACAACTTAATTGTCTTTGTCTTTTCCAAAAAGAAGAAGAAATAAAAAAATAAAAAAAAACAAGAAGATTCAGTCTTTTTCTTCTCTTGCATATATCGTTTAGTTTCGTTCTCTCTTTCGTTTAGTGTCCTTAACTCTAATGTGTTTAGAAAAATGTCGTGCATTCCATAGGTGACTATCACTGCCATTTTTTTCTTCATAGAGGAAAAATAAGGAAAGAAAAATGGTTAAAAAGAAGAAACGTTTTTTTTTGTGTTTGATTATTTAGTATTGTTTAAATTTTGCCGATCCCTCGTGTATGTCCGACATTATCGTAAACATTTACTTTCAAAGAGTGAGAGAAAGATATTGTCTTATCTAATGATAAAGGCATAGCATTAACAAAAGATTGATTTTTATTCTGGTTATGAACAGTATTTTCGAAACTATATGATCGTATAAGTTTTTATTTATCAATAAAGAACAAGAAAAACTCGACACAAAGCGAAACCTTGTACAGAAAAACTAATACATAATGACAACTTTAGACTCTAAAAGTCAAATTTGAACGCACGAAGATTCAGTAGCACGGGCAAGATATTTCTGCCCATGCCCGTTTGTGAATTTTTTTGGGCTACCCGTGTCTGTCCATGCCCGTGGATAAAAAATTTGTCGTATGACAAAAAACTCATGTTTTAATCACAGATATTTTCTTCTCTTCTATGGAAAAAATAAATTCTCTTGTATATCTCAACGAAAATTTTCTTGTCTATATATCATGTTCTTTCAATGGCTTTTACTACCCATTCACAAACAATTTATATTTGAAATTTATTTGTTACACAAAAAAGTTTTCAAAAACCTGTGTGCGTCGGCGAGAACAACTGCCCGTCCCTGTCCGCGCGTATGTCAGCAACCACGGGAATTCTCGTATGTATGCAGATTTCTACTTTGTAGTATATCATATACTCGACAGCAACTCTTTTAATAAATGAAAATCTGAATCAAATTTGTACCTGTCATTTTTACTTTTTCACCAGTGTCAATAAGTGCATAGAAGCATTTCGATTGATTGTATTTTCAACCAAAAGTTAAGTCAAGATTGATTGATGGCATAAACTACAGGTATATGTAAGATAGAATGTTGATTAATTGATTATTATATGCAATTTTGTTATCGCGTTGTTCAATGACTCTCTTTTACATCAGTCAAATTTGATTTCTTTTTTTCTGCTTTTTATTATCTATCATAAGATTACATCCAATAAATTTAGTTTGACAAGAGTGTTTTAGGATTATATGCTATAATTATATGCTGTATATGAAATTTTTTTTACTCTGAGTTCAGTTGCAACACTTTGTCGTGTCTATCAATAGAAAAATATACTATATATATTTGATATAAAAAAAAAAACGAAGTCGATTAAATTGACAAGCGAGCGCGGGAGAGTAAATATGATACTTTTAGAACATTACTAGAAAAGATCATATCTACAAGATAAAAAAAAAATATGAAACATCTCACTATATTTGACACCTGAGATACTCATCTTCTTGAATAGAAAAAAAGTATTACGAAGTGTTATCTAGGGAGAAAAAAAAAAATATGACTCTACAAACAATTGTCTTTTGATATCTAATGAAGCGTAAGTAAAAAAAAGAAGAAGCTAACAGGAGATATAAAAAATGTTTATACAATCACATACAGACTCGATCTTGTGGGTGGGTGTGGTTGTTATTTTTTCGAGATAAATTAAGTTTTTTTAATAAATTATAGAAATGACTGTATAACAATGATAGCGATAATTCTGTTGTATAGAAAATTCATATGACACATTTTAAGTATCATATATGGACAAAACTGAAGATTAATTTGAACAACAAATACTAGAAAAATTAGAAGAAGAAGAAGTAAATATGTTTACTTTACATCAACATCGGAAGATTAATGACAAACAAGTAAAAACAGATTTAAATTTCAATGATGAATTTTCAAAGTTCATCTAAATCTAAATACGTTTTTAAAAATCTAGGAATTTATAGAAATGTAGACTTACGTTAACTTTTAAAGACCTCCATGGACATTTTTGATCTTTGAAGATTTTAATAGACTTAAAAAGATTAACAAACTTTGAATTCGACTAGTCTTTAAAAATTCATCTAAATCCATGTAAGTTAATGTAAATCCGTTCATAATGCATAAAAGTGTTAAAATTCAAAATCCACTTTTCCTCTCTTGATTTTATCTTTGTGAAAAATATAAATTTTATCAAAATGACTAATATGTCAAAACTCATTTCAAAATCATATCAATATTTAGTGAGTATTACCTTAAATTTAGAGAATTAACGGTATCATTATTATCGAAAAAAAACAATTGTATCGTAAATTCTCAATCTCTATGTAGCATCAATACTAAAAGAAAATTTTATTTGAATTGAATCAATAGTAAAATAAAAAAATAACAACAACCGAATTAATCTAGATAAATTGTATTTAAAAGAAAAATATTTTTTTAAAACTATACTTAATTTTAATTTTATTCTCTTTCACTTGTTATAGATATTTTTTTTCATTAACGATTTATTAAAATAATCAACAGGAAAAAACGATATTTCTTTTCTTTGTCATACTTAATTAATTATTAACTTGAGAAAATACGTCGAAATTTTATATATATATATATATGTATAGAGTATACTATTCGTAAATTAAGATTGAAATAAGTGTCTATATGTATAAGTAGTAGTCGTCTTCATAAAAAAACACATATCAAATTTGAATAGGCAGATACTGACAATGACAGAATAAATTATAAGATTTGTCTTGTTTATCTTACTTTTCTTGGACAAAAGAGAAAATAAAATCGACTATGATTAAGATCTGATTGATTTCAAGTATCATTGTATTTCTATTCTCATCTCTACTATAGACATTTATTCTTTTTACGAAAGATAATTAGTCGTTCGAATATATAAGATCTAGTTTGTTTTTCGTACAAATTCTAAATGTGATAAGATAAGCAAAACAAAACAAAAAACAAAAAAAAAAAAACGTCTTATCGATAAAGAACTTAATAATATCGAAAAAATTCATTTTATTATAAACTTTTTTTTGTAAAATATTCTTCTTTATAACTTGCTAAAAATTGATTATTATTGTGTATTTTTGGAAAAATGTCATTGTTTTATTTATATTTAAGAAAAAAAAATAAACATGTCCAGTTTGAAGTTACTCATTTTAATGTACTAAACACTTTTTCGTTTTGTGGTGTTTGAATTAAATTTTTTTAATATCATTTGAACAATATACAGAGATAGTGTGTACTCCTTATTAGAAAAAAAAAATCGAGTTAAAACTTCGTATTTTAGAAATGTTTTTTATTTTACCTTAGGAAACAGGAAGCCGTGTTTTTTTAGATCTACGAAAAAAAACCTATATCAAACAAATATTTGATTTAAAAATAATTCGATTGCTCAATTTTGAATTAAATAATTTTTATCTATAAATAGATATTGATCACTCGGTTGATAAAATAATTAGAAAAACAAGAGAAGATTATTGTTCAAAATTTCCGTTATGGAAATGTATACGTAGATAGTTTACGTTTAGCAAAGATATAAGGGATTTTTTTTTTTCTCTGAATAAAAACACTTCAGAAAAAAAACTTCGTCTTTTTTTTTTTTTGTTCAAAATGAACGAACGTCAATAACTCAATTAAGAAATTTATAGTTGGTTGGTAGATAGATATTAGACAAGTCAAATAGGCAGTAATAATTATCATAATGAGGATGGAAATTTAATGATGTAGGTCGGTATTTCAATAAAATTTATTCCGGATGTTATTCATTTTTATATATTTTCTATGTAAGATCCCCCATTTACTTTTACATAACAGTTAGTAAGAGATAAAGAGAAATTAGTTAGCTATGTCATCTTATATTTAGAAAATAAAGTCAAAGAAAGACATCCATGTGCAGATTTAACGATTATACATAATAGTGTTTAATAAGTGAAATCTTTTTTACAACATGAAAGTTGGCTAATTTTTTCAACTTAATAATACTTTTGTATATTAATTATAGATATTTTAAACAATGTTATTTTTGTGAAACTTTTCACTACATATTTCGATTGAGTAGACGTATTTCAAATAACTCTCGTCACTTCTCATCCAATTATACAGGAGATCTAAGAGCCGAGAAAATTTGATTTTATTCGATCATGTAGAGCGTTAAAAGTTACATAAAGTCTACCACTATAGAATTTGTACGATTTTTCTCTTAATATAACATTCATCATTCATGCGGTTCACACGAACGTTTTGTATACCAAATACAAGAGAGAAGAAACACTCGAGAGTATTACATCTCTATTGAAGTAAAAACAGTACAAAAATATATCATATCAAAATGATCTTATCGACTTCCTATACTCCTTATTGGCAAACGGTAAATTGATATGAAGTTTCTTAATCTTCCTAAAATGCTTAAAGCAACTTTGAATAGCTAAGTGCTCTCCCATAAGAAGTTTAATATTTATACCATTTTTAAACGAAGGAGCTAATTTGATAAAGCTTTTTAAGATCATTTCTACTTTGAATAAAGCATACAATTGTAAAAATTCTATTGTGAAAATATTAGTAGTCGTCGATCCCTCCCCCCTCACCCTTACGTTAGAACAGAAATTTTGTATGATTGGTAAAAAATTGGCACA